TGAACCATGAATAAGGAAGACTGTAGAATTGGTGCTTTTGACTTATAGTGTTGGAGGAGAATGTTGAAAGTGCCATGGGCTTCCAAAAGAACAAATAGATCTGTATTGGAAGAAGTGTAACGAGAGTGCTCTTTGGAGGACAGGATGGCCAAACTTCGTCTCTCATACTTTGGTCATATTGTCAGGAGGGACCAGTCTCTGAAGAAGGATCTCATGTTTGGTAAGGTTGTGGGTCAGAGAAAAAGAGGAAGACCCACAGCGAGATGGATTGGCAAAGTGGCAGTATTAATGGGCTCAAGTGTGGCAACAATAATGAGGTTGGCCCAGGATCAGGCAGTGTTTCAATATGCTGTTCATAAAGTCACTATGAGTTGGTACTGACTCGATGGCACCTAACAACAACAACAACAACAGCACAAACCATGCACCTATAAGCTTGACCTCAACTTAGGAAAAGATTCTAGGATACCTTATCCAAGGGATCCTTTGTTAACCCCTAGAAAAGATAGAACATGGAACCACTTAGACCAAGTCATGTGTTTAGTAAATATCAATAAAAACAAAATCCACTACCAACCTTGAAAATTTCTTCACAATAATAGAGAAAGGAAAGTCATATTATTGAAAAAGCGTTAAACCAGAATGTTATGTATCATGATCACAGGCAATTTAATTTGCTAAAGAAACTGAAAAATCAGAAAGGCTCTTCGTCTATATGTTGTTGCGTGCAGTTGAATAGATTCCCATCATAGTTACTCTATATGACAGAGTAGAACCGCCTCGTAGGTTTTCCTAGGCTGCATTCTTTACAAGCAGATCACCGGGTCTTTCCTTTTATGGAACAACTGATGAGTTTAAATCGTAGACGTTTCGATTAGTAGTCAAATGCTGAGCCATTGTGCCACCAGGATTTCTTAACCTTTATACAGCTGAGTGGATCCAATCCATTGCATATATGTCTTCAAGATTAAATTTTTAGTTTTCTAGTATCTTTATGACAATATACCTGAAGTTACACTAATCTTTTACCAGGAAACAGGGAGGTAGGAAACAATTATCAAAAGTTTTATTTTAAAGAAGTGACTGTCAGATCCTTGAGTTAATACTTTAGATTTGGGAATTCTGAAAGAAAAAAGCAGAAGGGCTCCAACAGGAAGAATTAAAATCGCTCATTTTCAATTTGCATTTGTCCTTATACATATCAGATTAATTTGACTTTTTATCTTTGCTAGATAAGTTGATGACTGAAAATCAGTAGAAAATGTATCTAGATTTCAGCAGAGCAATTGAAAAGAATTTTCATAATATTTATTAAAAAGAGCAGAGAAATATATACTGAATTCAGAGACAGCCGCCAAGACACCTCTAATTTCCAGTTTCAGCATCTCACAATGTTGTTTGTTGTTGTTCTTAAGTGCCATTGAGTTGGTTCTGACTCATTAACCAATAGAAATTACTACTTGACTCCCAAATTCAGTCTGGAACAATGAGCTAGAACTGTCCTGCATTAGAAGGACAATTAGACAACTGGATGGTCTTTCCTGCAGACCCTCAGAGCATCTGAAGGTTCCTAGACTCAAAATAAGGAACGATATGCCTGAAATTGATGGAAGAACATCAAGATGTTGACCACCTTCCTTTGTGGTCTATTTTGAGAATAAAACACAGATATAGGAATAAGAATTTCTAACTCCAATGGACTCAATCACAACCCCACCCCCCACTTTCTCGTCCACACAGGTACAACCAGGCCATCAGTATGGCTTTGTTGCTGTTGCTAGGCGACATCAAGTCAGTATCGACTCATTGCAACCATATGCACAAGAAAATGAAACACTGCCCCGTCCTGTGCCAACCTCACAATCGTTGCTACATTTGTGCCCATCATTGCTGCCACCATGCCAGTCCGTCTTGTTGGGGGTCTTCCTCTTTTTCTCTGACCCTTTACCTTACCAAACATGATATATTTTTCCAGGGACTGGTCCCACTTGACAATATGTTCAAAGTATGAGAGATGAAGTCTGGCCATCCTGGCCTCCAAGGAGCACTCTGGCTGTGCTTCTTCCAACACAGATCTGTTTGTTCTTTTGGCAGTCCATGGTACTTTTAATATTCTCCTTCTACAGTCTTCCTTATTCACTGCTCAACTTTCACATGCATATGAGGTTATTGAAAATACCATGGCTTGGGTCAGGAGCACCTTAGTCCTCAAACTGACATCTTTGCTCTTCAATACTCCAAAGAGGTCTTACGCGGCAGATTTGCCTAATGTAATACGTCGTTCGATTTTTTGGCTGCTGCTTCTATGAGTGTTGATGGTTAATCTGAGCAAAATGAAGTCTTTGATAACTTCAATCTTTTCTACATTTATCATGATGTAATTTATTGGTTCAGTGGTGAGTATTTTTGTTTTCTTTACATTGAGGTGCAACCCATTCTGAAGGCTGTGGTCTTTGATATTAATCAGTATTTTAAGTCCTCTTCACTTACAGAAAGCAAGATTGTTATCATCTGTGCATCACAGGTTGTTAATGAGTCACCCTCCTATACTGATGCCATGTTTTTCTACTAGTATGGCAGTAGTGGGAATATGAATTTAGCAGCAGGTATGCAAAGACCGGGGCAGAGATGTCAACAAAGGGGCTAGGAAACTAATTGAGAAATGACAGCATCGCCCCTATAGAAAGACAGAGGCCCTTTCACTAAATAAAACTTTTGACACTTAGTCATCTAAATTCCAACAATTTTCTTAGTGGGAGCTGAAGTATCTAATCTAAAGAATAATACTTGATTATGACATCAGACAGACATTCCCTAGAAGAAATATGGCTGTTTTCAAAAGAGGAGGGAGACTACATCCTGGAGCTGTTAGAAAAGAGATCTTGAGTTAGGCGTGGGGCACAGTCCCTTTAAAGTCAACTTGATGTCTAGCAGTCAAAATACTGACTTGAATCATCACAGTGTAAGGTTCAGTTCAAAACCTGATCATTCCATAGACTCTGAGGTCCGTGATTACTGAGGAGGCCAGATTTCCTTGAGGATGAACTATGTATCATTGTTACAAGTACCACCAGTTGCCACTGAGTGAGTTTTGTGTGTGTCAAAGTAAAACTGCTCCAGACGATTGTCAATGGCTTGCTTTTTAGAAGCAGAGCACCAGGCCTTTCTTCTGAAATGTTTCTGGGTGGACTTGAACTGCTGACTTTTCAATTACCAACCAAACACTTAACCATTTGTGCCATCCAGGAATGTTCTTGCTACAAGGAAACCAAGCCCAAACCTGTTGTTGTTGAAATTGTTTTCACTCAGGAAGACCGTATGTGCTACTGAGTAGAACTGCTCCATGGGATTTTCTTGGTTGTAATGTGTGGCGCTGTGGGATAGTGTACTGACCACAAGGTCGGTGGTTCAAACTCACCAGCAGCTCCTCAGAAACCCTCTACAGTGTCACTATGAGTCAGATCTGACTGGTCAGCCCTTACCAGCAACAACAGCATTCTCTATGAAAGGAGATCGTCAGGCCTCTTACTTCACAGCACCGCTAGGTGGGTTCAACCCGCCAACCTTTAGGTTGTTGATGGTGGTTATGTGCTGTGGAGTTGGGTCCAACTCATAGCGACCCTGTACAGGGTTTCTGAGGCTGTAAATCTTTAGGGGAGCAACAAGCTTCTTCTTTCTCCTGCGGAACAGTTGATAGTTTCGAACTACTGACCTTAAGGTTCACAGCCCGATTCATAAGCACTACACTACAAGAGCTCCTTAACCTTTAGGTTAGTCAAGTGCAAATTGTCTGTACCCCAGGAATGTTATTTGCTACAAATATGCACTGTCAATTTCCTGTTAAGATTTTCCAGAATGAAAATTAATCACAGCAATGAAAAAGCATCTATATTCAATAACCACACAGTAGAAATACAAAACTAGCTCAGAAGTTCCACTGGACTAATTGTTTTAAAAACGATTTCTTAAAATGTCAAAAACATCGTAAACAAACAATCACAAAAACAAACAAAAAGCTAAGGAGCTTTAAATTGTCCTTAAATTGCCCATCGGTGAATTGATTATTGGAGCCAATGTGTGTCACTGTCAGGTCAACTCTGACCCATAGCAAGGCTGCATGGCTTCCAAGGCTTTAATCTTTATGGACGCAGATTGTCACACCTTTCTCCTGAGGAGTGGCTGGTGGGTTTGAAAAATTGACTTTTTGGTTAGCAGCCAAACAATTAGTGTTCCACAGGGTTCCTTCCAGAACCAATACCTCTTGTTTATTTCCATCTCTGGCTTCCCTGAACCAATTCTGTCTGGCTACCATAAGTCTATTTACTATGGGGAAATTGAGGCTACTCCCATCAACAAAGCTGTTGGTTGGAAGTGAGTGAACTACTGGTTTTGAGTCCCTTCCAACTTGAGCATCTATGTTTCTAGGCTTCAGAGGCCCTTGCAGACTAATGTGTGCACTCTCTGATGACCTCTTGTGGACACCAATGGGTACCAATTGGTCCCAGCATTGGGATGGAGGAGGGGGGTGGCTGCTGACTTAATGGGTCCGGTGTCATCATGTTCAGATGTGACCTGAAGGAAATACATGTAAGGGTATATTGAAAGGAATGAAGAATTCATGAATGACGAATCATTTTTATTTTACTTAAATCAGTCATGCTTTTATTAGCAGTCAACAACAAAGGAGTCTTCTTAGAGTCTGGCAGCTTCAAAAGAAAGAAAAATGAAAGACGGCTTTGCTAAAATGAAATGACTTGACAACATCAAAATGCAAGTTATAGCCCGGACCATTGCAGCTGAAAGGTCATGTTGGTTAAGAAAAAAAATATCTCTTAGAACTGGACGAGGTTCCTTATGAGCACCTGGAAAAAATGTGGGCTTGAACTCTGAGTAAATAGAAATCAGGCAGCATTTGTGCTCAATGCGAGACAAGTACCAACAGGGTGCTGTGCACTTGTAGATGGCGGCAGATGCTCAGAGGAGCTGTGAATTGTGCTCCATCAATGAAGTGCTGTCTTCTGGAAGTTAGACTCGTGGCTGGGTTGGCAGGAGGTCGACAGGCAGTTGCTTGTTTTGCAGAAACTTGGTGATGTGGTTCGGAAGCAATTGGAGCCACCACTGGATGATTTGCCTAAACCTGTCACACAGCAAGCTGGTAGGCAAGAGGGGGATTTGCAGCCACTTTGGTTGCAGGAAGCCGATCCACCACAATTTGGTTGGCCAGAAAGCATGGTGCCACAGGAAACTGATTTACAAGGGTTCCTAACAAAACAAGGAAACTGACAGGTAGCCATTGGCTGGCAGATGAAGGAGATGGAAGAAGCTGGTTGACAATGAAGTGGCTGACAGGAGGAGGGCACACAGCAAGTAGGATTACAAGAACTGAATGCATATGTTGGTGGCTGGCAGGGAACAGGCATGCAAGGAACTGATTGGCAAGGCTTTAAAATGTAGCAGACAGGTTGGCAATACATTGATTCGCAGGGCTGGCCTTCACAGCTAGTGGGCTGACATGAACCTGCTTGACAGCAAGATGTTTGGCACGAACTGGACATACAGATGGTTGGTGGGCATGATGTTTCAGGACCGGAAGTTACCTCAGAGCAGGGTGGCTGGCAGGATCTAGTATCACCGCAGACTGATTGGCTGCAAGCTTCCTGGCATGATCTGGACACACAGACAGGTTCCTGGCAGGAGCCTAGTTGGCAGGGGCTGGCTTCGGAGCACTTGACCTGACAACCAGCGGATTCCAAGCAGGATGGCTGGCATGTGCTAGCCAGACAAGTGGACTGGCCAGTACTGGATTCATAGCAGGCTGTGCGGGAACAAACGGGTTGGCAGACAAAACCCACACAAGAAGTTGATGGATGGCACGTAGTTTGGCAAGAAGCAGTTTCACAGCTACTTGGGGTGTTGCTGGATGACTGACGGCTCTCTTGGCAGGTGACCAACTGCCATGTTCTGCTCTGGCAGGAACTGGGCAAACAGATAGCATTTCGGAAGCTGCTAACACTTGGGCATATGGAGACGGTGGGCACAGCTGGGATGGCCATGGCGCTTCCAGGACAACAATTGTCCGCCATGGTGCTGGTGCTCACCTTGCAAGGGAGTTGCAAACTCAGTGCATCTGAGTTTGAAAGACATCTAATACATGGGGGCTTTTATACTCCTTCACCATAGGCGTTGGCACACCACATAGCATCTTTCCTTGTTGTTGCTTGCATTCATTTACATACAAACATCTGATTAGCAGGCTTCAGGAGCCTAGCAGGTGTTATATCCACTTTAAAAAACTTGTCTGTTGAGTTGGAAGTTTCCCTGCTGAATTTGGATTCGTTCATACAGCTCCTGCTCTGGAATGAGTTATCTCTTTTACAGGTTGTTCCCCACTCACTGAAGCAGGTCTTTCCTCGCACTAACCTCTCATCAGGAGGCCTCAGCCAAGCCAAAGTTGCCCGCTCTTCCTCCTGGAATGCAGTTCTGCACCATTCAGTCAATCCGGAAATGAAGCTCTGACCCAGTTGGAGAAGGGTGATAAAGATGGGGAGTGGAATATTAGGCAGTAGATCCTAAGGGCATTTAAATGTCTTCACCTCTGTCTAGAACCTTCCTGTTTGGCTTTCCTGAAACTTTGCTGCTACTAGTAGTAGTAATAATGGTTTGCATTTATCTACCGAGCCCTTGATGACATTTTAAATTGGCTCCTCCCAGTAACATTAGGTAGTAAGTACAGTCTTTTCTGTGTTCGAAGTGGCAAAACTCACGCAGAGACTTAAAATTATGCTCCCCAAATCATGCAAGTTATGAAACAGAAGCAAGATTCAAACCTAGGTTTATCTGATCCGCAAACCTCTGGCCTTAACCACCTACTAGACCTTCTGACTTTAGCCAAGGGGATTCTACTATAGTGCCAGAGTCTGATATTTGCGCAGCAGCACACCAACTCACAGGCAGGCTGCCCAGGTGCCATGCTGAGGAGCATCTGTTGCTCTAGTGACTGCAATCATCCACTGGATCTAGCCTGCCTAAGTACCTCTGTTTATCAATACATCCAAAGACAAGCTTTTAATTTGGGGAATAGGACAAACCTCAAGCTATGTTGAGAAGGATTAAATTAATTCTTTAGAGTACATCACACATGAATTCTATGAATAGAAAAGCAGAATAACTGAAAGTGATAGACATCCCAGCAGAGCAGTTTCAGTATTAAGTCAACCTTTTCCAGGAGGGCTTTATAAGGCACTTTCTTGATCCTGCTCTTCCTGGCTGTCCATTACCAGTCAACTTCAGTGTCAGATATCCATTCACACGCTGACCCAGTTCATGCTGGAGATCCATGATGGAATAGAAAGATAAATGGCTTTGGAAGCAAGACACGCTGATCTTTATTTCTGTCTCTTCTACTAACTCCCTTTGTTGAGCAGTTTGGTTAATTACACAAGTTTTCAAAGTACCAAGATTTCATCAACTGTATTAGAGTGCTGATGTGGCACTGTGGGTTAATGCACTGGACTGCAAATTCAGCTTGAACCATAAGGTTGGTGGTTCATGCTCACCAGCCACTCCTCTGAAACCCTTTACAGGGCTGCTATGAGTTGGAACCAACTTGATGGCACTTAATAACAATTGTATTGAGCTAGCTATTTTTTTCTTCTTATTGGTCTCTCACTGATTAAGGAAAATGCTAAAAAATATGAAAGGTACTTTGCAAAATACCAGCTACAAAATACTTTCTTCTTAACATCTTCCTCACTTCATTTTAAAAGGAAGAGAAACTTTTCAGGTTGGAACAATGGCTGTCAAACCCTCCATGTCTTTAAAATGCTTTTCCTCAGTGATTGTTTTTAATGTCACAGAGACAATTCTTTCTTTTGCTCTCCTTATCTTTGTTCATTTGGGTACCTGCACAGTCTCTGCTCTGTGTCTTATTCTGAATACTCATACCCAGAAAACCACCATCTTTCAAGGGGAAATATTTGCAGTCTTAACAAACAGGACAATCAAAATGAGAAAATGGATGCATTTGAGAAGCCATGTTGATTTCTATCTATAAAAGGTGCCAGTATCCTGTACCTATATCTAACACTTTTTCTGTTTCTAAACAATTCATTTTTACATCGTTTTTCTCTAAGTGATCATGCTCTTGTTTCTTTCTTCTTTCCCTTTTTAATATTTTATTGTGCTTTGGGTAAAGGCTTACACAGAAAATTAAGCTCCCATTTAGCAATTTTATACTAATTTTTCTGAAGCATTGGTTCCAGCTTTCACATTGTGTCAACATCCTTGTGCTTCCCATTCTGTTTGTTCTGTCTCCATCGATCTAACTTCTCTCCCTCTCTTTGCCTTCTTTTCTTTGCTTTTGGGTAAACAGTGACCATTAGGTCTCATATAGCTGATTGTTTAAGGGAGTGCATTATTCACAGGTGACATTGCATTTTCTTTCTTTTTAAAGAAACTTCTTCAAAGAGAAAACTTTCATTTTTCTGTGGCTCAAAGCCACATTTAGTGTATCACTGAGGGCTGTTGTGACCATATCAAAAATAATGCATAAAAAACGAAGACTTTAGACAGAATGAGTTTTGGTCATTTGCTTGTCACTAGCAGTGATTATCCTGAATTTTTGCTTATTATTCCCTTGTTTTGCATGTGCATAACTCATACATTCATATGTGTGTACATACATGTTTATGTATTCATACACTACTATGTACACATATGTATTTGTGTATGTGTTATGCGGTACCTTTAGATATATATGTGGCCTGATGGTGTTTGTTTACATCAATCAACATAATTTTACTGAGGTTCACCTATTTTGTTACATGTAGCTATTGCTTCTTCTTCTTCTTTTTTTTTTCTTTGCTATATAACATTCCATAGGTGAAAGATGAAGCTTTCTGCTCACACAAAGATTTACAGCCTCGGAAATCCTACATAGGGTCACTATAAGTCAGGACCAACTTGAAGACACAACACCACCATCAGCAATATAATGTTCCATTCCAATGCCTAGATGAAACCATCGTTCCAACACCAATGTTCTGGTTACATTTCACTTTTGATTTTTTTCTCTACCATTGCCTAATCCAGTATGTCTCAAACAGGAGTGAGTTTTGCCATGCAGAGCATGTTTGATAATGTTTAGAGACATTTTTGGTTATCACAACTCAGGGAATACTACTGGCATGTAATTAGTATAGGCCGGGGATGCTACTTCACATCCTAAAATGCACAGGACAGTCCTCCTTAACAAGTAATTACTCAGCCTACATTAGCAATAATGCTGAGAAGCCCTGATCTACCCTCATATAGTATTGTGATAGCCCAAGATACACTGTGAGGACATGGAATAGCTCTCCATTCTGTGGATTAAGTGTAGGGGAGACTTCTTTGACAACATACTGTCCTTGAAAACTATAAGAGGGTATGTATGGAATTTATACAAGTGTATCTTATAGAGACTGCTGTTGTGGTTGTTAGTTGCCACCAAGCCAATGACCCCATGTGCAGAATAGATCCGTAAGGTTTTCAAAGCTTTGTTCTTTCAGAAGCAGATTTTTCAAGGCGCCTTCAACTAGTAGTTGAGCACTTAACCATTTGTGTCACCCAGGGACTGTTTATAAGAACTAAGAGATCATAAGAAAAGATTTCTCACAATAACCCAACTTACCTGGATCTTCCTTATTATAAATATGACCCCTAATTGTTCTTTTCATCCCACTCGAAATCCAATGACTTTCTAACCAGTTACCACCTCCACTCTGTCTATATCCCTTCACATGCACAGCCAAGGAAGCTTCCAAAATCCATTGTGTTTCATGTTGCTGCCTGTATAGAATCCTTCAATGACTTAATGGCACACCCACACCAAACCCAAACAGTTCTGTCTAGCATGTAGCCCCTGGCATGATCAGATCACTGTGTACTTATCTAACTCCTGACTTACACAATGTTCTACACACACCTGTGCCCAAGACTCACTACTGAGTAGTGTGCTTACAAACCCCATTCATTTATACACGTTTCCTCCCTGTTTTTAATTGGTTAACTCCTACTTGTCCTAAAAGACTCAACTCAAGCATCACATTTCCCAAAAACTAGTCCCTAGTTCCTCCTTTGTCCTGCTGATTTCACAATGCCCTGTGCTTGCCTCTGCACCTGGGATTACCACAGCAGAATGTCATCAATGTCTACCAGTCTCCCCATCAGAGTGGACTCCTTAATAGCAGGGACTAAGACTATTGTCTTTGTATTCCGAGAGCCTAACTCAGACTATAGAACCTAATAGCCATCTAATAAGACTTGTTGGGTGAAAAGATGGATGGATGGATAGATGAATGGATGGATGGATGAAAGAAGTTACCCTCAAAGACAATGCAAGTCAGCTAATGAGACTATAGCAAAACAGGTTGTCAATAAGAATAGCACATCACTTCAACTTAGCTGCATTTATTGGATAACTGAATATCTCAAAGAACACTAGCATACAGAGTAAGAGAGGAGACAGATGTGAAAACAAAAGAGTTTAGAAAAGAGATTTGAGGTGATATGACAAAGCAGCTCTTCCAGCTTGATGGCTACAGCAGACAGGAACCTAGAATGTCCCCTTCTCAGTGCCCTGGAGCCTTCATGTAGATCCGGACATTTCTGATGTGTTCCTTGAAACATAAACAGATGAAAAGAGATGGCGCAGAAAGAAAAAGAGTCTAGCTAAGTCATATTGAGCCTTTGGGACAGCGGTCAAGTTTTTTTTCTAGCTGGTGACTTGCTTTGCAGGAATGGGTGGACTGAGGCCAGTTTAGGAGTCGGCAGATTTGCTGGCAGCAGGCTGACTGGCTGCAGCCTCACTGGTGGTTGGGCTGCTGGGTTTGGCAGCAGCAGCTGAGCAGGGACTCTCCTCTGACACTTTCTCTTTGCAGGGGGTTGAATCGGCACAATCTGGTTGGTTGGAATTGGAGTTCTTGCGATCGAGTTTGCTGGAGTCAGTCTCAGCACTAGGTAGGCGGGAACAGACTGGGCGGTAAGAGAGAGACGTGATGCAGGTCGGGCGGCGCAGGAGGGAGTAACATGGGCGGTAGCAAGCAGGGCGGTAGGAGATGGATGTCACATATGGCTGCTTGTAGGACAGGGAGCCAGAGCAGAGTGGGCGACAAATTGGACGGTAGGAAATTGAAGTACTGCAGGGCTGTCTGTAGGAACTGGATATGTAGAATGTAGGCCGAGAGTAAACTGGTTGGCAGATGGCAGATGCAGAAGACCCAGGGCGGCAGCAAAGAGGTTGACTGGAGTTGGAAGTGCAGGAGACAGGCGCACAACAGATGGACTTACCACTCTTAACTAGGTAGCAGGTAGATTGGCATGGGTTAGGCACACAGATACTTTGTGAGCTGGGACTAGGAACACAGACATTTTGTGAGCAGGGGCTGGGCACACAGACATTTTGTGAGCACGGGCTGGACTCAGAGCAGATGGGTTGGCAAATGCTGGAGACACAACTCGAGGCCTCTTGGCAGGTGCTAGAGACACAAGATGCTTCACAAGGGCTTGAAACACAGCAGACAGGGCGGAGGCAAATGGGTTCACAGACCAGAGCCACACAGGAGGCCGGCTGGCAGATGCTAGCCTCTGAGCAAGATGGCTCACAAGGACTGGAGTCACAGCAGATGGGCTGGCAGCTACTGGTCACTGTACAGACAGATGGACAGCAGCTGGGTGGTGGGCACACTGGCTGGCAGCAAGCGGGCTCACAGACCACTGGTTGGCAGGAAGTTGGCATAGTGCAGACAGCTGAGCAGCAGCTGGGCTCGCAGACCACTGGTTGGCAGGAACTTGGCACAGTGCAGATAGTTGAGCTGCAACTAGGCTCACAGATCACTGGTTGGCAGGAAGTTGGCACAGTGCAGATAGTTGAGCTGCAGCTGGGCTCACAGACCATTGGTTGGCAGCAGCTGGGGTCACAGAGGACTGGCTGGCAAGAAGTGGGTACACAGATGACTGGTTGGCAGGAGGTGTCCTCACAGCATACAGGCTGACAGCAACAGCTTATGGAGCAAGAAGGTTCACAAGGCGTAACTTCACAGCACACAGGCTGGGCACAGGTACTCATGGGACAAGAGGGCTCGCAGATTGTAGCTTCACAGCACACAGGCTGGGCACAGGTACTCACAGAACAGGAGGGCTCACAGATTGTGGCTTCACAGCACACAGGCTGGGCACAGGTACTCACAGAACAGGAGGGCTCACAGGGTTGAGGACCACAGCTAGATGATCCACAGTCATCTGGACAAGTTACCAGTTGCCATGTCTGGCTCCCACAGGAACTGGGCAAGCAGACGGGACCTACGCAGTTCACCTCCCTAGAGCAAAGAGAGATAGCTGGTGTGGAGGGGCATTTCCTGGAACAGCAATTGCCAGACATGATGGAGCTGTCTCTGCTTCCTAGTGAGTGCTGAGAGGGAGATGCCCGACTATGACCGCTCTCTCAGGGCCTCACCTTTATACTCCTTCTCTGACCTATGCTGTTTGGGCCTTCTGCATCTTTTCCTTATTTCTGTTTGAAGAGGAACACCTTATTATGCCAAGGTTTGTTGATCTGGAAGTTGTTTGTCTTCCCATAAAGATGCTGTTTATTTATTGTCTTGCTAAATTTGGAATCCTGGAGCTACAGGTCCTCTTGGAATGAGCATCATCACCTCCAAACTGGGTTTCTGAGCATCATGAATGAAGGAAGAAGAAAGGAACTTATAATTTATCCATCTTCTGATCCTCTGTACCCAAGACTGGGCACAGGGAATGCCCACATGAACAAGAACTAGACACCCATTCTCTTGGATCTCACTAGGTAATAGAGAAACATACAGCCAAATTCATTGCAATACAATGATAAGTTTAATTATAGATGTCAGGAGATGGTAAAGGGATGTAGTGAGGAACTCTATCATGGAAGTGGCATGGATTTTGAATGACTGTGCTTTGCAACAAAGATCTTATTTAAAACCAACAGAAACTCATGAGGTGGAGATTTTCCTCCTCTCACTATAGGCGAAGAGGTGGGCTGAGTGGTGAGTGAGTGGGCAATGGCAAGTAGATCAGAGTGTTTAAGTCATTTCTGAATATCACACAGACTGATATACACAGAAACACGACCCAGAACTCAATCCAGATATAGAAGTATCCAATGTAAACAAACCTATAAGACTGAAAATAAGAAAACAGAAATATCCATTTTAAAATTCCTTAAAGGAAACGAAATACAATGTACCAAAATCCTTGGGACACAACAAAATGAAAATAACCACAAAACAAAAAGAGTAGTTACAGAGCTTTAAAATGGCGAAGAAGTCAAATAAATTTAAGATAACACAGACTATTTTGAACTGGGGAAGAAATTAATAAATTACAAGATAACCTCAAGGAAAATTAATACATCTTCACATCAAAACAAGAAAAGAAAAACCCATAAAGAATTAGTAAACATTAAGACAACAGTAATGAAGAAAATGAAAAGAGAACACACAAACAAAATGAACTTAGTACAGAAAATTATGTGGAACAAACAAACTAGCAGAATCACATGCAAAAAACAAAACAAAACAAAACAAAAAAAAAACCACACCAAAATGACTGCAATCAATTCACACCTATCAATAATTACACTGAAAGTCACAATAAAAACTATCAATAAAACTAGCAGTAACCCCCTCCAAGACTGAAACTCAAAGGGAACACATGAGCAGCCATGTAAGCTTGCTGGCAACCATGTTGGTCTACTGGTGAGTGGAAGTGGGATACAGGCACTAATGAAAATATGGACTGAATTCGACCACATTCCATAGACTCCCATTGACCTGGAGATGAGAGAGAGAAGAGGAAGAGCTGGTTGGTCCCAAATAGAGTCAGACCCGGGAACTGCTGAGCCCATGGACAAGGACATAGCCACAGAGGGCTAGAACCAAGAGTGAAGCGTCCAGCTAATATGAAGTGAAGGGAGATGCATAAGAATGCCCAAACTTGTGGAACCTCGGCTACTTAAGACAGAGACATTGCCATGCTG